CAGCAGAGTTTCTCAGCTGAGAGTAGAGGAGCACAGAAGAGGCAGGATGCCTGCGGCGTCAGGGCTAGGCACACGAGCTCCAAGGCAGACGCCGCGCTTAATGAGGAGGTTGCCGCTCATGACGTAGTTGGTTTGGCAGGAGGGGCGGACCTGGTTGTTCAGAGCCTACGTAACTTACTTTATGTTCATTTCAAGGTGCTAAAAATTTATATTTGATGGAGATATTTTTGCCACACTTTTAACCAAGTTATCAAAGATAAATGAAAGGGGTTTATTATTCAATGTGGGAAATGGGTTTGTTGTTTTGGTTTGGGGTTAAGTGTAAGTGTAAATATTCAGAGAGAATGAAGTTGCTGTTCTCATTCGTTTGTATTTGCATTTTTGTGAAATGATTATAAATAATTGTGGCATTAGTCTGATGACGGAGACAGATTCAGTAAATCTCATGAGATTAGGAGAAGTTATGTATGCTCGCCCATACCTAACTCGGGGGAAATGTAGTTGATAGAATTCTCATCAGGCAACTGATGAGGCCACCTCAAAGCCAGTGCAATGGAGAAGATGTGGGTCCTTGTTTATAAATCATTTTTGCTCTCGCTGCATCATGGCTGTTTGATGTCGGTGGATATAGCGACCGGTACTGACTGGTTTCCCTAACAGTGGCTCGTGTCTGAGTGCTGCTGCCTGTCTGGAGGGATGAGAGTTTAGAGGAGAGCGTGTTTGAAGAGGAGGAGGTAGGGAGGAGGGAGAAAATGCAGCGCAGTCATGTCAGTAGCAGCTAGAGCCTGGGTGCTGCGTTTAGTCCTGAAGGCGGCATTATCTCACTGAGACAGTAATGTCACTCAGAGTGAGCACAGGTGCGCTCACCTGTGCAGCAGTTTTTGGTTCCTGTGGGGCTGAGCTGGAGGACTGTAGTGGTTCTGTGGCATCATCTATTACCACTTATCAAACATCAGTCCTAAAGCTTTTTATTATACTGGAGTTTTAGTATAGATTTAACTTTCACAATGAAGACCACAGGAATTTTTTCTTTTTAAGTAGTTTTTTTATAAGCGCATCAATCAGACATTTTGTTAACAATGTATTTACATTTTTCCTACCTTTAATTTTACCAGATTAAATGTTTGAGAATAAGTTCTCCTTCACAAACACCACCACTGTTTGAAGTCCACAGAAAACAAAAGTCCAAATTACAATTCTTGAAGTGGACAAAAAAAGGAACCAGAACTGCCTGAACCTCTAGAAAATCTGATCCTGAAGTATGAAATTGCAAAAATGATATTGTATATAAATTAACTGCATATAGACTCATCTTTTTTTAGTAACTTGTCTGGTTTACATTGTTTTGGTGGCACACAAAATTTATTTTTAAAAATCACGTTTTAATAGGGATGTGAAAAATATCGATTTGGCAATATATCGCGATATTTTTTCCAACAATATTATATCGATATCCAAAAGTTGTGTACCAAATTTTTGAAAGATTTACATGCAAACGTGTGTGTATTTTCTTTTCTTTTGGTGTAATTCAAACGCCGACTGCTAGTTGGCAGCAGCGTGCAATGGGTTTTGTTTCCACCATTTAAATGTAAATCCCTCTATAATGGTTCAGATACCTCATGTTAAACATGTTAAAGTTTCACTTTGGACTGTTTATTGAATTTTCCTACAATAATTTCGGTCTAAAAAATTGTCTATATCGTCTGGCTGAATGTATCACAATATATCTTGATATATCTTATCCAGGGGCGCAGATAGGATTTTCAAACTGGGAGGGACAAAGTTCCAATGTACTGTAATAAAAGTAGCCGTGGGCAGCACAGGCAGAATATCTTGCCCTCCGGTCAGAACCTGAACACACCACCAGTAGGCAACGACTTATAAAAGACACACTTTATTGCACAATCAATAATAAAACACAATGATAAAACACCATGGCCCAAGCCCTCTCTTCTAAACCCAACTGTCCAGCATGAGTCACATAAGCAGCGGTACTTAGCTGTCACGGATGGTGTGACCCCCGTCCCCGGGGTCTGAGCTTCCAACGCCGTCCAACGCCCCGGGGTGTAGCTTGCGAGGACGGCGGGTAAATCCACAACATAAGTCCACTGCCAGAGTCCGTAGCGGCAGATGTCGGCGCGGCCTTGGCATCACCTATGCCCAGCCCTAACTGTCTAAAGAAGGCGACCAGCCTTCCCTCCTGGCGCTGGAACACTAAACACCTGTTCAGCTATCTTCGTCGCCGGCAGCCCTACCCGGCTGCGAACGACCCCACCCCCCAAAGTCCGATGCCACAATGACAGGTCGACCACGCACACCTCTCAGTAGGTCTGTCACCCTTTTATCCTCCCTGGCCTCGTTATCCATAACGAGGACCAGCTGGTGTCCAATCACCACACCCTCGGAGCTCGGCAGCTTCCGTCTTCTGTCCATCACAGTACCCTCCCCCAAACACACACACACACACGTACGCACGTACACATACACAGACTATTGCAAGAGCCGTAACTAGAGCTCAGTCAGTTTGTGTAATTTCATCCAATGGTTTACTTAAAAACTAACACTATTATATATGTGTTTGAAGGCATTATGCAATGGAACGCTGGCAACAAAGCTCTGCCTGATCAACACTATCCAAGTCAGTCATTTGTTATTCTTCTAATCAATTACTAACCAAAACCTCATGCTTTATGCAAAACATTAAATGATTTTCAGCATACCAATCTTTACAGAAAACATAAAAGCCCTAAAAAAACTGCACATAAAATATATTTAAAAAACAATATTCCTCGTTTCAATTCTGGTTTCTATCGATTCCCGATTCCGATTCTTTCAAGACATGACATGTTTTACATGAGCCAGCTAACCACAGGTCCTACTTGATGAAATAATTTTAACTTCAACATGAATTTTAATTCTATGAACAACAACATCACCTTCATTTAGACAAAAACATGTTTTGGAGAAAAAAAGAAAAAGACTTGCAGCACAACCAGTGTGTTTGTTTCTGACCACAACCAAAGTCTGGAAGAAGCCTCTGGGATGAGAGGCTAAATGTCTCCAACATATCCAGAAACGTCCAGCTGTTTTCAGCTAAAACTCAGGATGATCATGTCCAGGATGACTGAGAACTACACCTCCATGTTGCAGAAGCATTCAGTCGGAACAGAAAGTGAAACTTAAACGTAGCTGCTGTCAGTAACGATCTAACAGATTTTAAACATTAAAACTCTCAACAGAAATAGTTCAGAAAGGAAATTAAAATGTTCACAACTTGTGTGTTATTTATTATTATTATAATTATTTATTGTGGCAGAAGCTGGTGTGGTCCACCACAGAGAAGCTTCTCTAGCATAATGACTAATTATTCTACAGGTTATTGTTCAGCCTTCTGACACACACACACACACACACACACACACACACACACACACACACACACACACACACACACACGAGTGTTGGTGAGCGGCTGCGTCTGACTGCTGACGCTCAGTGTGTGTTTTTATTTCTGCAGTGAGACAAACCCACCTCACACCGTCCAGAGTTTGTTCTTTAAGCTTCTACTAAATCCACCATGTTGACGTATTTTAACAAGTTTTCTCTACGCTGCAGGAGTTGAAGTTTATATTTCGGAGTAATAGTTCGGCAGACTCGTTTGTTTATATCCGGGTGGGGGGAGGGGGGACTCTGTGCTGTACACAGACAGCTGGTGTGATCAGCTCTAGGAATCGAAACTAGGAATGAAATAAAAAACTTTTAACGATTCCGGGAAAAACAAACAGAACCGGTTCCAGTCGATGCTCGATGCCCAACCCTATACTTAGAGCAGTGGTTCCCAAGCTTTTCAGCCTGACCAACAGAAGTTCCTTCGTATTTTAACGTTATTTAGAAATTTTCATTATATTTAGAAAGTTTTAATTTATATATAAATATATAAATCTCTTTTAAAATTTTATATTTTACCTTTTTTGTGATTATGTGGCACACTTTGACTTCCATATGTAACGCATCGGCATCTGCCTCTTTTTTACGGCTTTTTTTTTTTACATTGTCACTACGTCTATCACGTTAGCTGTGTTTTATCATCGTTTCTACATCCATCACGTCCCAGAGAAGGTTAAACCAACATCAAACCCAACGTTTGGAGCTTGTAAACTCCACACACCTCTCGTGCAGCACCTGCTGTCTGATGCTGCAGCAGCGTCAATCTTCCCGGCTGGATGAGTTAATTTCTTCATCAGAGTCAATATTCTGCTTCCTAATCAGAGTCAGTCATGACCAGACAAAGTGATCAGTCAACAAAGACCAGATCTGCCGGCAATTAAACGTTTTATCTAATATTTGCCCTCTTCATGCTGCGCGCATCTCCTCCTCTCCCTGACTGGGAGCCTCTCGGCGGGAGGTGATTTTCAAACTCTAAAAACTCCAAAACATTGCTCAGCCTGAAGGTTCCACATCTCCACTATCTTCTGGTGTAAAGTAGTAACTTCATGAGGGATCATATTTGTAGATGAGACTTGTTAAAGTCAGCAATGAGGCTTTGGCGCTTTTAACGAGTAAGTCCCAACACCGACAACAACGTACTGAAACTAGAACCAACACGCATAAACAGGCAGATCGGTCCCGCCTACTTACACTGTTGGTCTTTTTTAAATACGCTGTAATCACTGCTTTCCTTTTTCGCTTCATCCTGCATCCTAGCAGCAACCACTTTGGCGCCTCTGGAGTTGGTGTTTGTTTACGTCATGCTGCATTCAGTGTAATTGGAAAAATGAGCTTCAAGCACTCAACCTCCGATTTTGTTTTCTGTCTGGCTTTAGTGCGGGGGACGGATCGGGGTCTATCTGAATCTGGGGGGGACAGATCCCCCCCGTCCCCCACCCTAACTGCGCGCCTGATCTTATCGTCACCCCCTGATATGTACCATATCACCAGAATTTCACCAATATACATCCCTATGTTTTAATTTGCAATGCTTATGCTGTTTCAAAATGCAGGCAGCTGAAGGACACAGCCATGGCAGACCCAGACAAGCATTCAGGGACCAGTGAGGAGGTAAGGCCTTCGGTCAATAGAACATTATTGGTTCTACTTGCTTCATCTTTTAAAATTACAAATAGTTTTTACAGCATTTTTCTTTGTATTTTTCTACTAAAATATTAGAAAGCATGTCATAAGTTACAAATTTGATCTGGCTGTTTGTGAAACCGGTTGTTGGCCGCGACACCAAGGACATTTTCTCACTGTGGTTGATGTTCTGAAGGCTATTGACCCCACATACTGCTGTTGCTACACCTGACCACAGGAATCCAGATAAGCCCTCGAGGCTGCCCCATGTTCACCAACATGGCTGATAAGAGCTCTTTATTGGACCTAACAGAAAAGTTTGTTTTCCATATCAATCCCTTGTTTATCATCGGTTTTCTTTTAGTTGACTGCCAATATATGAGTACAGTAACCATTGGAGGCACATGCTTTTCTTTTTCTTTACAAAAAGAAAATTCATTGTTTCTCGTCATGAGCCCAACATGTTTTTAAAGCGTCAGGACTGGCTGCCTTTGGCTAAAGCCTCTGAGAGCCAATTGGACTGGTCCTGCCACCCGAACATCTTAAGGATCAGCTGACAGTGGTTCCAGGGAATCAGCAAATGAGCTTAATATCATTTTATTTACCGTAATTTCCGGACTATAGAGCGCACCTCAATATAAGCCGCGCCGGGCTAAAAGCCGCAGATATCTACTGAATTAAACGTAGTTTAACTGAACGTAACTGAACTGGTCAGTATCAAACAAAACAGAAAAGTTATTGATTAGTTTATTCATCATCCTCCTGCGCACTGAAACCACTGAAGTCATCTTTTTCAGTGTCAGAGCGCCATTTTACTGTGAAAAAAATCCTCCTGGACGCTTTTCGTAGCACTCCTTTAACCATTCCTTCATTAGACTTTCCAGCATCCATCCCTTTTGGTTGACTAAAGCCGCACCTCATTATAAGCTGCATGGTTCAAAGCGTGGGAAAACGTAGCGGCTTATAGTCCGGAAAATACAGTAGCTATTTTTTGAAGATCTTGGAATATTTTTATGAGAATATCAGCTGTGGAAAGTTTTGGGGTACTGCTGTTACTCCTGTTTCTACCCTCCATACCTGCCTCTCACCTTTCCCTCTAATGTCGAATGTTTTTGTTTTCTTTCAGACACCAAAGGCGTTCTCAGCTCGTAAAATCTCTCTTGGCAGTGAGTACACCCTCCCATCTTTCACCTCTCCTTTTGAAGCACTGTCTACACCTTACTCACAATGGTTACTTTATTATTTATGTATAGAACTAAATAAAAAGTTGACACTGGACAGAAAAACCAAATGAGCAAAATAATGTGGCTTTGACAATGTTGGGTGTTTTTACTCTAATCTGCTCATCCAAGTGTTTCTATAAAAATGGAGATTGTTGATTGGCTGTGGCGGTAAATCATTCTTCCTTATGGTGGTATCTCTTACTAAACCAGATCAAAACACAGTCAGCTGTCTGAAGCTTTTGTCCCGACCGTAGTGTAAGACGAAGAATTCTCTAGTGATGTCATCAAGCTGCTGCAGTTCTGTGAGAGTCACAACTCCCTGAAGCTTGTTGTTATTCACGTCTTCAATAGGCGATCTAAGTATTTTGGGCTGGAGGGACGAGTGAACAAATCTCACATTTGTCCTGCCTTGTTAGCTGGCGTAATTAAGTCATGTTTAGCTAACAAGGATAACAAGTTGATTGGGAACTGAAAAACCTCAAAGCTGTATTGAGCTATTTAACATCATTTTGGTAACAAACACCTGAGGAGTTCCATACATCCAGTCAGACGGGTTTGGCTCGGGCTAAGTACTCAGATGTGTTGCTCCAGCCTGTTCCAGGTCTCCACAACAGCACCTCCCGTATTTATGTGAGTTGTACAGGAAGAGCTGACCTCGACATCTTTAGCATGTTTTTGTGCAGAACCGATGGGGAGAGGAGCCATCTAGGGGTTTCCTCCTGAGCCAGCACTAGTTATCCAGCAGAGTGGTAGCTGTTTGTACTGTTGGCCATGTAGAGAAGTTTCTTTGTGTATTACTGTTGTAGTGTCATGTCCTACTGTCTCCTTTAGTAATATTAATAATGCTATTTATTAAGCAGGTGTTGTTAGCGGGTCATGTAGATGTGGCCAGATCCTTATGTTGTTGCTCCAGTGATGTTCTAGGCATTTATTCTGTATTTTATGACTCATCAGGCACTAAGTCGTCTCCTGGCACCGGCAGTGGGGAGGGTGAGCAGGAGTCTGGGCCTGTTTCTGGTCGTAAGAGGAGGTGGGGCTCCAGCACAGCCGTCACTGCCAAGAAACCTTCCATCAGCATCACCACTGATTCCCTGAAGGTGAGGGCTGCAGATTTAGATAAATCTCACATTGTGGTTTTAGTATTGCCTGTATGCACAAGGACTAGTGATACATCTGTAATATGTTGCTGTTAGCAAAGAAAAAAATCCATTAGGCTTTTAATTTGCCAGTCTTAAGGCTGATTTATACTCTTCTGTCAGCATCAGTATGGAGTCATGCACACACATTGATGGAGATGTTTTTCTTTGGACTACCCCTTCACCTGGAGAGTGTTGTAAAGCAATTCCCCACCAGGACAACAGAGGGTGGAGGGCTTTTCTGGGGTATCCTGCCACCATTACAGCTAGGGTTGGGCATCATTTGAATTTGAACGAATCCAAATCCACTTCCTCGTTTTGACTCCGGTCCCTATTGATTCCCGATTCTGGTTCTTTCAAGTGGCAGGATACAAAAACATTACAAAGTTTAAATAAGTCAGCTAACCACAGGTCTTACTGGATGAAATAATATGAACTTCAGCATGAATTTTAGTTCTATGAACAATAACATCACCTTCATCTAGACAAAAATGTGTTTTCAAGAAAGAAAGAAAGAAAAAGTCTTGCAGCACAGTCAGTGTGTTTGTTTCTGAACACAACCAAAGTCTGGGAACTGAGTAGGCCTATCTGGATCTGCTCTGGAGTGGTTCTCCTTTTATCTGTCTGTGTTCCTTCTCTGTGGCCGTCTCTATGTTTCGGTCATCCACCACTTTCCTTACCCATGGTGTCCCACAAGGTTCTGTGCTGGGGCCTCTACTCTTTCTCCTCTATCTGCTTCCTCTTCAGCACATCCTGAGCTCCTTTAAAGGAATCTCCTACCATCTTTATGCAGATGACATCCAACTGTACATCTCCTTTAAGCCCATGAGATTTCTAAGCTGCAGCTGTTACACACCTGCTTAGATGCTATTAAAACCTGATTGGTTGTGTAAAGGTTTAATTTACATCTATTTAACAAACCATAAGACATAAGATTCCATAGTAAATATGAAATCAATCTTATGGATCTTTGGGTACTTTTAACCAGAAGATTGGAACTTTTTATTGCAGGGATTATGTAACACTTCGTATTAACTGAGAGACAACAGAAGAGAGTCACCTTTAAAACGTTTAAGAAGATTTATTTCTAAACAATTTTAAACAAGACTAACTCTAAATTCTAAGTGAATGGATGTATCTTAGTGTGAATGAGACGTGAGATGAATGGTGTGTGAGTGATGTTTGTCATCAGAACTCTCGTATCCGG